GAGAGAGAGAGAGAGAGAGAGAGAGAGAGAGAGAGAGAACCTGAAATAGCATCAGGATGTAGCTGATTAAAAAGAAAAAGGTAGGTGGGGGAGCTGATACTGCAGTGTAAAATGAATAAATAAAAGACAAAGACAAATGGTTAGAGCTGGACCTTCCAGCCTCATCTACATGACTTGTGAAGAAAGTGCAGGTCTGAGCCATTAAGCCTCAATAAAAACTTAAATAATAAACTTCCTCATTGGTAAGTATATCCACCTTCCAGAAGGCTGCATGTCAGGGAGGGGACAGAAGCTGTGTACCGTATGTCATCCCTGCCTCTGCGTCTTTGTTGCATCCTTTAACAATAAACTGAGATGGAAGTCAAGTGTTCCCTTAAGTTCTGAAAACCATTCACCAAACCTGAGAAAGAAGATGTGGTAACTGCATAATTGTCATTGGTTGATTAAAGGTCCATGTGACCTAGAACTAACCCCTGGCATCTGCAGTGAAGGGGCAGAGTGAGGGTCTGAACCCACAACCCTGTGGGATGTGATGCTAAACCCAGGTAGTGTGAAACTTAATCATCCAACACCCACATTGGTGTCTGAAGACTTTTTGTCAGTCCTGGAGAATGCCCTAGAACTTACATGCATAAGAATGGCTGTTATTGAAAACATGAAATAAACATATATAAATAAAAGCAGCAAGCATCCATGAGAATGTGGAGACGTGGAACGCATCGTGCATGGCTAAGTGGAGATATAAAAACACTATGGCCACTGTGGGAAATTGTTTTGTGGTTCATCAACAAGTCACATGGAATTGTCATGTCATCTGGGTTCTCTCCAAAGCAAGGAACAAGCAGGTGTTTATACGTTAACACTCAGAGAAGCATTATCCACAAGAGCTCGAAGCTACGGACATCTCGGTTGTTAAGTAGTTGATGAGCAAACTATGGTATTTTTGTTTAATAGGATACTCTGCAGCCTTAAAATGCATGAAATACTGATAGATGCTACGATACGGGTGAATCTTGAAAACACTAAGTGAGGTTAAGCCAGATACAAAAGGACAGATATGGCCGAATTCCTGTGAAACGGGAGATGAAGAGTAGAACAAGTCATCAAACACATAGAAATCAAAAGAGATTAGCAGAGGTAGGAATTGGATGGGAACTATCTTAAATATCTATAGAGAAATGCATTAAGAATTTCTCTCTAGGGTGATGACACAGTCCTGAAGAGAGATTAGTGCTGTTGCATCATTTAAACGTGCCAACAGCACTGAATTGTATACTTAATGATTCAAATAACAGTTTGTTATGCGTGTTTCATATGTGACTTTGAAAGGGGCCATAGCAAGGATGTCCGACTTGATGTCTGGTGAAAATAAAAATGTCTTCAGAGGTTGATTCTAATGAGAAAACCATATCCAGTAATTGAGTTTGACTCTGCAGGCTATGTCTGTTCTGAATGTAACTACTTATTTCAGAACCACAAATGATAATGACATATTATCATAAATGACATTTCTAGGATGCATTTTAGAAATACATAAAAGCACACAGACACTGATCAAGAAAGACAGGGAGGGAAGGGAGGAGGAAGGGAGGGAGGGAGGGAGGGAGGGAGGGAGGGAGGGAGGGAGGGAGGAGGGAGGGAGGGAAACAGAGGGTGAGAGAATGCCTGCAGAAATAACATGCATTATGGTTCATATGGTTCGTTTGATTTATTTGGTTTTGTTTTCTGTTTCGGTTTTCAAGCAGGATCTCAGTGTAGTCCAGGCTGACCTCAAACTTATTATGTAGCCAAAGCTGGCCTTGGACTATCCTCCTGCATTTATGTCCCAAATGCTAAGAACACAGATGTGTACCACCAAAGGTTTTAAGTTATGTTGCTGAAACATTCAATTCAAAACAGATCACCCTAAGTACAGTCTATACGTGTGGGAAAATAGTTAATAGCATGGCGAAGGCCAGCTGTGGATTCAGTAATACTACGTGTTTATGTCTCCATTTTTCCACTGTTAAATGAAGATAAATAATCAAAGTATTCTTCTCATTTAATTGACTAATGGATTCGATAACTTGACATAGGAAACTCTTCGTGCAGAGCTTCGTACAAAGAAATATATGACGTCCACTGCTGCTGTTGTCTACGTCATCAGTAAAGACTCAGTAGTCAGTGTGGTTATCTGGTTATCACCGAGGAGAGTTGTACCGAACCCCTTAAAGAGAATCTGTGTAAGAGGGAAGAAAGAGATGATCCCCTCTTGTGAGTACTTACTCATTTGCATGGTGAAAATACCTCTACCCTGGTAGATTTCAGCTAGGAATCTGATGTTGCTGAACATAAAGTCAGACTACCCATAAAATTCCCCTTGCAAGTATAAATCTTTATATTTTATGGATGTTCGATCCTTTTAAAATGAGCTATGCCTGTGTCTATCAATAAGAAGTTGCTTTCCGATTCATTCTTACTCTTTCAGTTCTTTAAATATTTGTTTCGTGTGCACATGTATGTGCCCGGGTATATGTCTGTACACTGTGTGTGTTCAGGAACCTGGGGAGATCAGAGGAGGCATTGGATTCTCTGTAATTGGAGATACAGATGGTTGTGAACCACCTGAATGTGGGTGCTGGGAATTGAACCCAGGTCCTTTTCGAGAGCTTAGCTACTGAGCCATCTAATGGTAAGATATCACCGATTTTTACTGTGATATAAAACGGGAAATGAATGAGGTCGGACTTAAAGAGAGAAACCTTTTTAATCTGGACCTGTGCGCTCCTTGTTCCAGGTATTTGGAAAGTCCTTTTGTTTCCTTCCCCATACTGAAATGCTACCATCTGCTCATCCAGTCAGTGATGGGAGGGAGGGTACAAAAGTCCTCAGCTCTGCCTGCACGTTTACGTCGGCTCCTTCTACAGCTTTCATTTTGGTGTTGTACGTATAATTAGTCTCAGTCACCTAATCTGGTTCCTGCTGGTAAACGACTGGCAAGGGCATTGCCAGCATTTGCTGTTTCCATTACACAAATATTCCTATCAGGGCTGATTTCAAGCTTTGGATTAATACAACTGTACATAAAGACACGTGACAGCCATGCCAAGCCAGTCCCTATACACTGCCTGTGCCCTTCGGTTACACGGTTTACCAGGGCAACGCCCCTTTCATCACTGCTGTCCCACGGTACTTACCTAGATGAAGCTTGTTTTGTCTGTTGCTAGTGTTGCAGATTTCTTAGCATTGCCAGGGAGAAATCACGGTGCATGGATAGACTTTTGACCTTTTTATTTATCTTAAGTTCTCTGCATCCTCTCTTAGATATGTCTTTTGTGAGCAACACATAGTTATATTTTTATTTATACTACAATCTGATAATTTTAGGATCTAGCTGGTAATTTAATACACTGTTATATTCATATTTGCACCCA